GGAGGGGTGAGCTGTAGGTCCGCGGCCGCGGCGCGGTGGGCGCGCTGCGAGGGAAACCCTGCGCTCCGAGCTGGGTTGCGGCGCGGGCGAGGTACGGGCTCCGGGCGGGCCCGGGGTCCAGCTGCTTGTTGCCATGGCTCCCGGTGGAGCGGCCAGAGCGGGTGTCGGGTTGGGGTGTAAGCACCACTCCAGGCCCTGCTCTCCAACGAGGCCTGGGCCTGGCCCCTGGTGCACTGCAAAGCCCGTCTGTGGCTTCCTGGGCAGGGGAGATCTTGAGACACCCCAGGCGCAGTCAGGGTCTACCGCCTAGCTCCATCCGCGAGCACAGCGTGGTGTTGTCTTTCATGCTGGTCTGCCTCCCTCTTGAATTCAGATCCCCAACCTGCTGAGCATCTGCACGCCCACCCAGGAGTTGGGGCCCGGCTCCCAGTGTATTCGGTTTCCCCTGTGCAGTCCAGGGCTCTCTGCCCGGGCCACCACGGGCAGGTCAGCATGGCAGAGACACTGGAGTTCAACGACGTCTATCAGGAGGTGAAAGGCTCCATGGTGAGAAGGCGTGGACTTTCAATGTTGGTGGAGAGAGGGGAGGAGGGTAGAGTTTTTGTCCATTACCAAGAGCTTACTTTGATAATGCTATTACTTAGAAAAGGAAGACCCAGTAAAATGTGTACCTGGTGTTTCTCCCAACACAAGGCAATACTGAGCGTCTCAAGTTCTAGGGACCATAGGTGCTGTTCCGTCTCACATTCCTATGTTACAAATGAGGAAACTGAGGACCTGCAAGGGTCTTGGATGCCAGAACCAGGGTTAGAATCCAGTCTTGCTGGCCGCTCGTGTCTTGTGACTAGCCCTCACCACTTCAGCTGTTGCTCCCGCACTGATAACTTGGCCAGCCCGCTGGCAGCCAAAAGGGGTGTTGGGGTAGAAGTGCACCCCAGGACTCAGTGTGTACTGTCCCCGTGCATCTGGGCCTACTTTTCTGCTAGAATGATGGTCGACTGAGGTTGAGCCGCCAGGGCATCATCTTCAAGAATAGCAAGACGGGCAAAGTGGACAACATCCAGGCTGGGGAGTTAACAGAAGGCATTTGGCGCCGTGTAGCTCTGGGCCATGGACTGAAACTGCTCACAAAGAACGGCCACGTCTACAAGTATGATGGCTTCCGAGAATCGGTGAGATGTCTGGTTGCTTCAAACCTCCTTTTTTACTGTGCCATCTTGTTTTAATCTTCTAGAGAGCTGGGGTTCCTTCCTCTGATAGCCCTGTAATTGCTGGTTTGGGCTCCCTAGAGCACAGCTATGGAGGCTGTTAAGCAGTCACTGTTCAGCTCTGAATGTTAAAGTCTTGAGTTTTTTTGCCTCGACTCCTGAAGGTTTTCTTGCCTTGATTTAGATGGTGGTTTTCGCCTGTTGCTTTTACCCAGGTGCAGAATCTTAGCTTGATGCCTTACTGTGGATTTTGTTTCCCACTTTGAACTACCTGAGTTAAAGATTTCACTTGGTTTTGATTCCATTTTCATTAAGGTGATACCTGTACAAAATGTAAAAAGTCAGAGAGCACCGTGAAGTCTTAACCAGGGGTGTCAGTCCTTACTTTGCTTCTCCCCTAGCCTGAGGTCCATTTTCCAGAAGGAACCCCTTTCAGCAACTTCTGAACAGTTTTAGAGCTGAAGTGCTAAGTCTGCACAGGCTTCTGATAAAGGGTATTTAAGACAGTTTCTCAGAAAATAATCCCAGGACATTTAAGTCTGTGTTGAGGCCACCAGAGTTTACTGGGCTTGTGCTTTCTCTCCTCCACCTACAGGAGTTTGAGAAACTCTCTGATTTCTTCAAAACTCACTATCGCCTTGAGCTAATGGAGAAGGATCTGTGTGTGAAGGGCTGGAACTGGGGGACGGTGAAGTTTGGTGGTGAGTTCTGGGAGACAGGTTTGGGGCAGAAGGTGGGATGAAGGGCTTCAGCCTTTAACTTGTTCTTCTCTCCTCTGCTGTTGTCTCCGATTTCCCATCAGTTTGCATGTTCTAGCATGTATTTGCTTAGCATCCACAGTGTTTGAACAGACTAGCTCTGGTACCCTGTCCTCATGGAGCTTATAGTTTGGAGGGAATGGAGTTTATGTAGACTTAAGGGGAGGAGCTTGTGGCTTGATACGCCTTTTCCTCACAGGGCAGCTGCTTTCCTTCGACATTGGTG